GAAGAAAAGTAAAAAAAAAAAAACAATAGGATGTCGAAAGTAGACCGCATAAGATTTGTTCTAAACGCAAATCTCTCGTCACTTCACAGAGCGTAGCAAATATGCTCGCAAAAGTGAGCTTAAAAACTTGCATGTAATCGTGCTATACAAACATAAGTACATATATCTACACACCCACACCCAAGAAAACATAACCAGCTAGAATAGAACCGGCATTTCAACGCATTCAACATTGCATTGGGGGTGGTTTAATTATGCTAATAAGGCTTTTGCCAACACCACCAAAACCACTGTGCCATCAACGCTGCCATCGTTACTTTACTCACCTACTTACCCACACATACACACCTCACCGCTCATTCCTGCATACAAGCATAAACGCATATCCAACCTAATTTACTGCACACAAAGCTTACTATGGCTGCGCTTAATTGCCTCCTAACCGAATGCAATGGCGGCATTGCAACAACAATTGAACATTGTAGCGACTGCGAAAACAATAACCCTGCAAACCATTTATTCAGAGCATTCTGAATTGCAAAGAAATTTTAAAGAATTCGTAAAGTTCTCAGCCGATTTTCTGCCGAATTTTCTAAGATAAAATAATCTGTGCTTACTTCGATTTTTTTACGAAATTGCGGAGGAAAATCGGTAAAGCAATGTAAATAATCTTGCAGAATTTTCTTTATTTTTCGTACAGAAATTTCTTTACAAGTTCGTGTCAACCACTTCATATAATTTTCTTTGAAGATTCGTAAATAAATCTTTACAGAAAGGAGATACTCCCTAACGATTGAGATTTCAGGAAAATTGGCTTGCAGGGAACGCACAGATCACTTAAGCGCGTATATCATTAGCGGTTTCATGAAGCGTTAAAGTGTCGAAATTGGCTAGATTTCGTTTTGAGTGTCTCAAGTCGAAAGCAAGAAAGGAGTAAGTGGCGGTAATATGCTATTTTGTTGCTGCTGCTGCTGCTCCTTTTTACGAAAAACTTTCAGACATTTCTTGTGGTTTCTTTAAAAGTTGGCGTAGAGAATCGACAGTTTTTCAATTGCCGACAAGAGTGTCGGCGCTGCACTGGGACGCTTGTAGACGACTATTTAGCAGCACTTCCATAAAACTACATAGGCACATAAATATTTCTGTCTTTTTCTTTACTTCAAGAAGTATTTTTAATGATCCAATTTTAGGTTATGTTAGTGAAAAATGGTTTATGAAGTGAAAAAAATATATTTTCCTTGCTTTGTGGTTAGCTACTGAATAAATACTTACTTCAATATTTTTATATAAAATGTTACCACGCCGATTTCTAATAAGTAATAGTAAGTTTAATAAGTAAACATAAACTAGATTTGTTATGCATATATGTAAATATGTACACTGCCGATCAAAAGTGAGTGCAGGGTGATTTTTTTTTTAATATTTGCAATATTTTTCAAGTGAACTTTTTTTCTTTATACAGAATTTAGAAAAATTCAACAAATTTTCATAAAAATTTTGAACCTTTTAATCTGAATTTAAAAAACAAAAATGTTGGTATGCAGTTACCTGCCTTAGATTCTAATAAAACGAGTGTAAGTTTTAAGTGCCTAAAAAATCGCGCTAATTTTTTTTATTTTTTTTACTCACGGCTTTTTTGCACTTTTTACCATACAAACGTAAATTTCTTGTAGAACAAAATGTGTAAGGCAGTTTGCCATTAAAAAATCAGCTCTAGTTTTTATAAATTTCACAAAAATTTACTAAAAATGCACCCGACTTTTAAGTCGCTGAAAACTTGTACCTGCTTTACTAAAATTCATACCCAAATATTTTTTGGAAATTCCGTTTGAAAGTTCAAAATTTTGACGAAAATTTGTTTAATTGTTCCAAATTCTGTATAAAGTTTGATAGTAAGTCGAGTTAGAGCTTGAACCATATTTTTATAAATAAGTAACAAAACAATTTTAAACTGAAAAACATTCAACAAATTTAACAAAAATCACCATGCTCTCAGTTTTGATCGTCAAAGTAGGCACAAACATACTTTGTAAATAAACATTAATTTTATACGCTGAAATTCCAAGTTTTGATTCGACGCAAAGATGAGAAAGACCTATCAGCGCTAGCATTCGTGGCTGAAAATGTGCAAAGTATACTAAGTAGAGTATTAGTAGTCGGAAATATTTATACCTTCTTCACAATGTGTCTCGGTCATTTGAGTACCGTATGCAATTTTCAGCTTCCATGAGCTTAGAAACCGAACCGAATTTTTTCCTCAAAGAATTGAGATACAAATGTGTTACGCTTTGGTCTTGAAACTTTGAGTTCTTTGAAAAGATCCGATAATTTTTGGTAAATGCCATTTTAGCCAATTTTGAAATGCTTTTATTTAATTTATGAGATAAGCAGGGCATCTCCGCAGATTTTGTGGCTTCTTTTTGGACTTCCTTGGCGGCTCCACTTGTGTGATGTGTGCATTTTAGTTAAATATCTAATAAATTTTATTTTCAAGAGCATGGGATGGGTTTGCACATACATATTTGTAATGAAATAACAATTTAATTTTGATAAGATATTTATTAATAAAATTATGTTCTCAGAGCTTTCTGTTTCGCAAAAGAATCTATCTGATGAAGTGAGTGAATATTCTAATTGAATTAAAAGAAGCAGCAGCGATATGAAGTAAATCATTTTAATGCGAGACTTGTAAATTTTTGAGTTAAAAACCTTAGAAAAAATTATCGAAAACGGATCGCTTTCAAATTTTCGAATTTCAGAACATTCCTGTATAGCATCATCAATGTTTAAAGATAGAGCCTTAGAATTGTCAATGGAAATATCACTATTAGTTTTTTATTTATAATATTTCCATCATTTTTTATACCTTTCATGAACATGAAATGGCATTGTAAACTTGGTCTGATGTTTTTGGTACCAGAAGAAGAAGACCCAGAAGAAGTAGACCCATATAAGTGTTTGCCAAAATGATCAAAACGTCGAGCTGAATCGATTTAGCGAAGTCCTTCTGTCTGTCGGTTTGAACGCAATTTAGTCCCCCAGTTTTCGAGATATCCGACTGAAATTTGGTAAGCGAGTGTATTTTTACAATGTATTAATCATTTGTGGGAACCGTCAAAATCGGACTACTATAACTTATAGCTCCCATACAATTGATTATTCTTTTTAGTTCTCGGTCGTGACTCATTAAAAAATGCTCGTATATTTATTTGCTCAAAAAAATTATGATCAAAGGTGAAGTAATTTTTGAAGCTCAAAAATAATTAAAAAAAAATGTCTTCAAATTGTTCTTTAAAGCTGTATGCTAAGCTTGAAAAATGTAAAACAATGGAAAGCAACAAGCTTTCAGATCGCCTATAATACAAGTGGTAGAAGCAGTGACATTTTTAAAAATTAACAAAATGTAAATCTTTATTCTATATTAAATTATGAAAAATAAAAGAAATGGTTACATTTTTTCATGTATTACGACCAGGCGCGGATCTACCGGGGAGGGGAAGGGGTACCTTTCGCCCACCCCTTTCCCCCCGTAGATTCGCATCTAGTCGTTATTAGTATTATCTATAGTATTGTCTAACAATATTTGTTACTATTTTAATTTATGTAGTTATAGATGACATTATCGGCAATATTTAAGTTTTGTTATTGCCATTAATTTATGATTTAGCTAAATATGCGCACCATTGCGGTATTAATTATTTTGAATACTTTCTTATAGCGAGTTTCACGAAAGTCCTTTAATAACATTTTTTTTTTCATTTAATTTAATGATTTTTCAATTAAATTGTTGGTTAAACGGAAGTTAATATGTTACAAATTAAATTTTTTAGCCTCTCCATTCATAAACTTGTATCCTTGAAATAATGAGTCTTATGTAGTGTTAAAATAATGAGTCTTACGTAGTGTTTTGAAGTCAAAATTAAGCTAAAAATATTTCCAAAAAAAGTAAGTGCTTACTTTTCCACTTCATCGAATTCATTGCCTTTGAAACCAGTTAATTGATCTATTAAGTGCCCTACTGATAATTTATTCACACATTTTGAGCCTTTTGTTTGCATTTCGGAGAACATTTAAATTTCTATTTATTTTGATCCTCTTCAATTGTTTTCCGGCATTATTTCGGTGACACTCAATTAATTCCGAAGTTGATAAGCCTTCACGCGCTGACTGACGCAGATTAATTTTAGGGACATATTGGCAGAAAAGCAAAAAATCGTTGCCTTAAAATTTTTCGGTATCCCTAGTCAATGAAAAAAAGCGAAATAAATGAGGAGCAAACGTGTAGGCGGAAAACAGAAACGCTTATAATGCAAATCAGTTATGATAAATACTTTATTGTCAATCAAAAAAATTACCACCGCAAAGACAACGACCGCTAGAAGATGATACTGATGATGGCAAGAAAAAGTAGTCTACTACCATTTGAATGGTTGAGTAGGCAACAGAAATAATTGGAAAAGTATTTTCTTATTTTTACCGTGATACCCATATTTAATTTAGTACCTACTTTTTCGGTCTGCTTACATTTTTACATTCTCATTTGACAGGTGGTAGCTTATTTCGTTTCTGCGTTTGTGTTTGTTTTAAGCATTAATTGATTTCTTTATTTTTTTCTGTACTTTTTTCAGATTTTTCATTATTTTACGCTTTCTAAGTGGACCCAAATCAAATGCCACAACGAGAATTTGACGACGCAAAGCTTCGAACTTGCATAAAACAATATTTAAATTAATCTTTAGATAGACAGCAGTTTAAAAGCCTGAAAAGAAAATTTGCGGCAAGGAGACAAAGCTGTTAAGTGAACAAAATTAAAAACAGAAAACGGCATCAACAAAAAATCTAAATTCTAACAAGTTGAAGTGAAAATTTCAACAAAGTACGCAAAGAAAATTGCACATCAACCCGCAACAAGCCGCTAAGGGGAAAAAACGCGCTGTCGCTGGTCAACGGAGATTTCGTGCGAAATTTCATACGAGCTGAGGCGTAAAAGGTTTGCGACCGCCGCAACAATGCGTGTGTACGTGTTGTGGCTGCTGACAGCTGCCGCGCTGCTAGCGGCGGCCACTCAAGCGGCGCACGTACGGGAGGCGAGCAGTAGCAGCTTGGCCAGCAACTATGCAAATGACCCACGACCTGATGCTGTGAACGAAGAAACGAGTGATATTTTGGGCACTGGCGGTGTCTACGAATTTCGACTACCACAACCGCAAATAAACAAAGAACAACAGCAAAATCAGCAACAGCAGCATCCAAATCAACATAAAACAAAGTGGCCCAACACCACCGCCACTTATGTGACCACAACAAAAACGAGCAGCAGCAGCAGCAGCAGTGCCAATCAGATGTCGACAAAATGGTCGACCACACGTCCGGCGAGCTCCACTACCGCCACAAGCGGTAACAAAGCTGCCAGTGTCAGTAGCTCGGCTACAACGCCAGCACAGGCCAGTCACCAAACCGGTTTTGCATACAATGTTTCGGTAACACCACAGCAGCCATCGCAACACACTGTAACTCCTGCTGCTGCTAATGACGAGACGGCAGTGACCTTTGGCGCCGAGAGCGATGGTGAATCATCAAAGAAAATTATTGGTTCCAGGTGAGTGAGGAGGCTAAGGCTGATGCCGAGGTGTAATTAGGTTAAAGATTAACCATGAATTAAATACGAAAGTACTTAATTTCTAATTTTTTTTTGTATTTAGAAATGTCACTTTTGCTCCTTCCACGGCTAGGTTAGGGTAGGTAAGGTGCCAGCCCTCCAAGGGGATTACATAGACAGTAAGTAAATGTCTATTGTGTTTCCACTGAAAAGAAAAAAGATTATCCTGAAACGGTAAAACAGCTAATCAAGTAAAGTTAGAAAGGCGCTGGGTGCCGGTTATGAACTTCCGCCAGCAGCCCATCAAAACCGAGATTTGTCGCTTAGCAAGCTGTAGAAGTTTCCTAGATCTCCTGCGATTAACAGCCGGCCAAAAGGACCTTACACCCTTGCATTTCGATGTTTCCGCCCAGCGTTCGCTGAGCCCACTAAACGCGCAGCTTTCCAGCAGCAGTCCGCAGGTTGCCATAACTTCCCTTTCGCTGGTGATGGTTTCTAAGGTTCCCTGCCTAGCCACTTCATAGGCACAGCAGTTTCCTGTAAGCTTCTACCCATACGTGAAGATATTCACCGGTCCCTTGCTCCAGTTATCCCCCCCCCCCCCCCCACCTCCTCCACATATGTTCCTTTGGGGGATATGTGTAGAGAATATCACTCTCAGATCCATCCTTGGCACACACCGAAAGGTTACTATAAGCTAGCCGAGTGCCCATACTCCGGGGAGATAGAATCCAGCATGCTTCAGCCTGATATCCTGTTTCTTATATACAGGCCAATTAGCCACTCCTACTTGTTAAGTAAGAAGGAGGAGAGACTAAATAGCCTGAAGTCCTTCGGGGATGTGTGAGAGGACTTTCCTGCTATGGGGACCTTTCTCGGTTACTTGTAATCATTATTTTGGCATTGTAATTTATGGTTTGAATTTTGGTGTCTGAAGTGATTTCAAATTGGCTGATAAAGCTAAAGTTCAATTGAGCTATTCATGTTGCTAGGTAGATAGAGATTAAATTTTTTTGAACCTATCAAATTCAAATTCGATAAATCGAGGTCTTGGTCATAGATTTTTTAATTTATGTTATCAAAATGTCTATTTACTTTAGTTTGATGGTCGGTTTGTTGGTATAGAACTCCAATTACTTATTGAGGGTTAAAACATGTAAGACAATTGAAATGGAAACTATTAGTTTGAACACAGTATTTGATAATATAAGTAAGTAGACTCTTGAATTTTGCGATAAAAAAATTTTACCTTTCAACTTTTGAGTACTACTTTATTGCCGAAGTTGTATTACCATGCGCGTATTTGAGTTTTATATCAGGGTAATATTTTGTGTAAAAAAAAATGGTGATAATGAAGATTGTATAGAGTCTAGGAACTATAACTCCGTGCGACAAAAGCAAAAAGATTTCGCAACACACGAAGCAATCAATATAGCCTCGAAACTGTGGGCCAAATATAGTAAAACGGCGCTTTTAGTTTTCTCTCTGCCTCAGGGGTTTTTTTTACGGAATTTCTTATTTCAAAGAAATTACTAATTCCAAAAATTATTGAAAAAAATGTATTGTAGAAAAACAGTATTAAAGAAATTTGAAATCTCTTTATAGAAAATGATAGGAAAATTTTACGATTTTCGATTCGTACGAAAATAAGAATACGCCCCATTATTTACGAGACCTCCAGACCGTTCTTTTAAAAAACAGCATCATCTGGCCAGTAGTCTACAAATGTAATCACCACATAATATGGTTGGAAAATCACACATTTTTTTTTACTCATCAAAAATCGGGACGCTTGCATACAATAGCTCATCAGAGATTTTTATTTTTTCAGCTGACCAGATTCTCTCAAAAAAAGTTATCACACTTAGTTACCGGACTGACTCTAGCATTCAACACTTTGACTTTGGCAACTGATCCTGGTACTGGCTAGATATTCCTGACCATGTTTTTGTTCTGTGTCTTTCTAAAAAGGGGTTTTTCAGATGATCTCTAAAATTACAGAAAAGGAACAGTCTTGCATTCTATATTAGGGACTGAATGGGAATTCTGATTAGTAATTGGAGAGTTCATTATGCGGAAGCTGTCCAGAATCAGTAGACAGTGGCTGCTTAGTGTCTCGATAATTTTCCTTGTCGATTCTTAGACGGAAGAAAGCAAATCTGACCCGCGCTTGCCCAAATCGAGATTTATTTCCGGCCGGATTAAGTTTGTGTTTACCAATTAACTTAAAAAAGTGTGTAAAAATTTTCACATTCAGCGTAGCCATGCTTTTTCATGTGTTTAAATGATTCCGCATACAAATTCATGTTTGCTACAAATGTACACTTTTGGTCATCCAAGCAAGTTTTCAATCATAACCGAGAGGTATGGACTCGTATGTATGTCTTTGATTGACTATCAATGTGTGGTGCGTTAAAATAATTAAGAGAAAATCCTCACTTACTAATACATTAAAGAGAAATTAGGTTTGACGAGAAGGTTGAAATTTAATTTAGTAAAAATATCTGTGAACGGTCACTCTGGAGCAAGTTTCAGAAACGAAAGATCAAAACGCTTCACAAATACCTTTTTACTTGTTAAATTCATCATTTTTATAAACTTCGCTGTGCACGGTTTAATAAAAAGGCATATTACTCATAGTTAGTTGGATTTTTGAGTGCATTCATTAGCCATTAACAAAACATAAAAAATAAAAAACTTTATAAACACCTAAAAACGTCTTCACCAACACAAAATGCTTTTTAGCGCATACTCCCACAACTCCCTTTCTCCCTTTGAGCATAGATGTACATTTTAAAAGTTTTTCTTTGTTTGTAGCCACAGACATAAAAATTAATAAGCAACTTGCCTCTGTGCTTTTCAATAAAGCAATTACCGCCATCCAGTTACGTTATCCATAGCTCTAATTTAATTTAAAATTTCTCTGACCTAGAAATTTTTAAACATTTTTCCCCATCCATTTTCCTTGCCACTTTTTTCCTTAATTATTATTTATTTTTCGTTTTCTCGCCGCATTCATCACCTGCTACGCCCACTTTATCGATCAACTAACTACTTTGTTGTTGTGGCAACCTTTTATTATGAATTTATTACCGTTTTCACTGTCTGCTTTCAAGTAGCTAACAAAAAATTTGCGAGTGCAAAGTAATTGGAAAGAGTTTGGTCGAAGTTTTTAATGGCAAGCCCTTTTGAAGTTAAGAAAATTTTTCAGTAAGAGTAGTAAGAGTAAGTTATGAAATAAAAAAAAATATATATATTTTAGGTAAATCAAGTAGCATGCCCTGTTTTAGCATAGAAGACGTCTTACGTTTTAATATGAATGGCTTGCTGAAATGTTGTAGTTGTAACTTTTGTGGCTTCACAAAAACAAAATGCAGCGATTCAAAGAAAAGCTTTCAACACTGCCGACAGGTTCATCTTTATAAGTTTCAGTTCGTTTTCTTACTTAAGTAATCCTTACTACTTACTTTAGTGCGGGTTGGACCTGGATTAGACAAGGCTTAAATACATGAGCCACTTAACGGTAATAAACGGATTTTTATTTTTTTGAACTTCGAATTGTGTCGTTATTTCAGAGGACCACATTTTGTATACATACATATATATATGCATAATACGAGAAGGCTTTTACGTACGTAAATCATCAAAGACGTTTGTTCAATTTAAAAAAAGTGAGTTTTTATTTCTTCGAAAAGAGTTGCCATCTGATAAAAAAATTAATAGCAAATTATTTAATAAGTTAATTCAATTATTGCAAAATGGTTTTGGAAAAGCTTTATTTCTTAATTACATAAAGGAGTTGCCACCTGTTTAAAAAATCAAGTTCAACTTGAATTAATGGGTTTCGAATGAAAAAGATTTTAAAACAGGGTTTAGTTTAAAAATACTTTGAAAAGGGTTAGAAGAGGGTTGCCATCTGTTTACAAAGTAGAATTCAATGTAAGCAGTAGATTACATAAATTACTAAAGTATGAATATCAATCAAAATGATTTTGAAAAAATCGTATTCTTAAACTACACGTGAGGGGTTTAAAAATTAAACTCAACTTAAATTAAGGAAATTATTTGACTTCAAAATAAATTTTAATTAAGTTTATACTTAAACATGATTTGCCACCCCTTTCAAAAGTCGAATTTAACTAAAGTGTACATAAGATATATGAAGGATTAAAATATGAGCGTCAAGAAAAGAGTGTTAAGCAGTCTTTAGTTTGAAAATTTTGAATATTAATAAAATTATAGTTTAAAAACTAAAAACTCGCTTTTACAAATTACAATGTGAACTAAAAATTAAAAAATAATTCATACAAATACAGATTTCGTTTAAGACGAATAGGTGGTTGCCTAACTTGATTTCATTTAACTTTTATAATCAACCTAAAATAAGATTCGAGCAATTGACAATAAAATTAATTTTACCGGAAAACAAAACGCCAAAAAAGAATTAGCGAATGCATTAGGGATGGCGCTGGTCAAAAATTAGGATAAGCAGATTCTTAAACCATTAAGATGATCACTTAATCACAGCGGAAATTAATGAAACCGAAGCAAACTTCGATGGAAATTTGAACTTAATAAATACCTTTCAACAGACTAAACACTCATATTTAATATTTTGCTTAACTCAATAAATATACGATTCGAAATACTACACATATATAACTGCGAACAAAAACCGCACGCTTATAACGTACTGAGTTCATCTGCATACTACATGAACCAGCTACATACATTCGTAGTCGTACAGGCACAGCGGTCACGGGCACACAAAATTCATGAATATGCAAAATGTTTGAGAAAATTACGCTTGTGGTACTAGCAATCTAATGGCATGCAAGCGTACACGTATTTGATTTAGCCAAAAGCGCAATATCCAGCACAGCCAGTGTTGCCAACTTTTGATTTTCAAAAAGCACCAAAAACTTGGAAAAAAGCGTTTTTAAATCAAAGGATTCTCATTTCATAACAGTTTGTATTTAACAAAAGCAAAAAATTAACAA